CCAGGCGCCTGGCCTGGTTCCAGGCGCCAAGGCCTGGGGTCAGACGCCAAGCTTAAATTTAACGCGTTTTCAAAAATCCGATAAGTTTACCGTACTGGAGGATAAAATCATATAATTTCCCCAAAAATGCTATTTGGTTTTGATTAAAACTCTGAAAAGTCAACAAAAGTCAATTTATCAATGCTAATTGAATTAGGAATGAAAAGAACCTTCTAGAAGATTCTAGAAGACTAAAATCATTCCTAATTGTATTAGGAATGATAAATCATATTTGGCCCTCCCCTAGATCATTGGGCCGTATATAAAGCTCAAACCGGGCCCAGTTTAGTAAATTGGCCATAACTTCCTCAATATTCATCGGAATTGGGCTTATAATATATCGTTGGAAAGATCTTTGCAAGCCCCATCCAACTATACTACTATTGAACCCATATCATGGACCAACCAAACTGGATTGGCTGTTTTCTTAAAAATAAGTTTTCAAAAACAAAGAGAAGAGAAAAGAAATTAAAACTTTCCGCAACACTAGACTTTCCACACTTTCGCTTCATTCGATTATGATTCGATGTGAAAGGTACTCATCACTAGGTTTGGTTTTAGGGAGACACAAATGGGTGTCTACAGAAGCCCCCACTTTGACTGAGTTTGGAGAAAAGTCCTTTAGTCATTAATTAGTTTATTTAGTCTTAACACAAGTCAAACAAACGGTTAGGAAAAATCACATAGAGTATGCACAACGAATAATGCACAATTAGTCAAGTAGGCACAATATGATGCAATGAGTTTGCAACCAAACCATGGCTCTAGTTCTCTAAAGTTCGGGATATGGTTTAGTCAAAGAGGGCCCATGGTTAATTGTCCGGATGCACCGCGCGGAAGCCTAACCATGAAGGGTTTGCGCGAGTGGATGGGAAACCGCGAGCTTTAGAAAAAAAACTCGCTTCCATGGTTTGGTGAATTCAACATCTCGGATGTACCCCTTGTTGCACAGAGCGTTCAATCGGGTAGATGGAGCATGAATACCCAGAGGGTTATGTCCATATGTAGAACACATATGGGTTTCAGAAAAGTGAGAAAAAATTCAATCAGGAAGTAGGATCAAGCAAACAATACGAAAAACCGGTCGAAATTAGAACGCATATTTCTGGCTCGGTATTGGGGAAAATTGGCGCCAGCAATCAAAGACTGGCGCCAGCTTTTAACTGTAGCGCCTGGCGCCAATACTGGCGTCTGGCGCTACAACTAAAATTCTGGCGCCAAGCTCTAGCCCCTGACGCTACTTCCCATATGCCTCAGCAGCTTTCTGTGCTCGGTAAAATTTTCCAGTTTTGCGCGGTGTTATTTTAGTCCTAGTTGTGAAAGATATTCCTCAAATTTCCTACGTGTAAAATCCTATGTTTTTAACTCATTACGGATGGTCTTTCCAATGAGATCTTTTTTATGCATATGACAATAATGTTAATCAAAATTACGCACATGAAATACTTAGAACTTTTCGAGTCTCATCCACTCATTCTAAATCATTGCCGAAACAAATTCAGGAATTAAAATAGAAATCCTCCCCAGCGGAGTCGCCAAAAACTGTAGAGAATATTTTCAAGCCTTTAAAATCCCACTAGCTTGAACCCCACTGTGATTATACACTAAAGTACGGTGGCGTCCAAAAGGGAAGAAGATAGAGCAAAAGAGTCGCCAACAAGTTTTTTAGGAACTTGTAAAACGTTCACGAGGTGAAGGTTACACCCCTTAACAATCCAAGAGATCGTCAACTCCATAAGGTCTAGAACCAAATAAGGGTTCGGGGATGATGGTACAAATCCAACCTAAAAGAGATTGAACCTGCCCTAATAATAGGCCTCTACTTTATTTTGCTCGTACTCTTGTGCGCTTTCTGATTAACATGCAATCAATAGGATTACCCTAAACCTGTTTATCTATGTTGGTTGAATTTAATGCACAAATAAATCTATTATTGGCGATCACTTGAAATTGTAATCAAATTAAACCTAACAAGATTAATAATATCTTATTAAGCGTGATTATAAGTACAAATTCCCTTTAAACATGCAATAAAGGTGTGATCAAGCAATAAATAAATATCATCAAGCAACATAATAAATTAATTATGATCATGAATAATAATTATAAAATAAAATAATCATCATCAAAATAATAATAATAATATTCATAATCATCATAAATCATAACAATTATAATCATAGTCATGTTCATGTTAATATTAAAGCATAATAAAAATAGCAAGATCATAGGCATGATACTAACAAGATTAATAACAAACCCTAGCATGTCACTAGGCAATAAAAATCAAATCTTTAACCCTAACATGATACTAACAATCATAAATATTAGGAAGAACATAGGAAGCATCGTAACAATCATATTTAATATTAAAGTTTCTTTAGACATGATACTAGGGATATTATAATAACAATGTAAACATGATTGCTACATCATAATATCAATAAAAACCATTAAAGCACTTACTTTGATTCCTCGTACCCCTTTCTAATTACAAAATACAAACGTTAGTAACTTCAAGGAAAATAATAAACAACAATTAAATTAAATAATTGAAAGAGAGATTTGAGACCAAACCCTCAGAAATTAAACCTTTCACGCCTAGGGCGAAGGCAACTTCGAATATGGCTAGGTGTTTATAGATCTTGTGAATGCGGAATTTTGTATGAAAAAGCAAAGTTTGAAGACAATGAATGACAGATTAAGAGAATGCTAAAGAATTAATGATTGCGAATGAAAACTTGTGAATCAGGAGAATTGGTGCATGAAAACGGAGTTTTTAATACGATATTTATAGAGAAAATCAGCCAAAAAGATAAATTAAACAAAATAGAGCCAGACGCACAAAAAACAGAGCTGGCGCCAACCCTAGCTTGCTGGCGCCAGGCACCAACACCAGCGCCAGGCGCCAATGGCTAGTGCCAGGCGCCAGGCCTGGTTCTAGGCGCCAAGTCCTGGGGTCAGACGCCAAGCTTAAATTTAACGCGTTTTCGAAAATTCGATAAGTTTACCGTACTGGAGGATAAAATCATATAATTTCCTCAAAAATGCTATTTGGTTTTGATTAAAACTCTAAAAAGTCAACAAAAGTCAATTTATTAATGCTAATTGAATTAGGAATGAAAATAACCTTCTAGAAGACTAAAACCATTCCTAATTGTATTAGGAATGATAAATTATATTAGGCCCCCCTTAGATCATTGGGCCGTATATAAAGCTCAAACTGGGCCCAGTTTAGTAAATTGGCCATAACTTCCTCAATATTCATTTGAATTGGGCTTATAATATATCGTTGGAAAGATCTTTGCAAACCCCATCCAACTATACTACTATTGGACCCATATCATGTACTTACCAAACTGGATTGGCTGTTTTCTTAAAAATAAGTTTTCAAAAACAGAGAGAAGAGAAAAGAAATTAAAACTTTCCGCAACACTAGACTTTCCACACTTTCGCTTCATTCGATTATGATTCGACGTGAAAGGTACTCATCACTGGATTTGGTTTTGGGGAGATACAAATGGGTGTCTACAGAGCCATATGGTGATTTTAGAGGATCTGAGTGTTTCGGAACACTAGAACCACATAGAACCATCATTTTCCTGTGGGTACGATATATCTAATTTCCCTCTAATTTCTTGTTTGTTTTCTTGCAAATTTTTTGTGTTATTAATAGTTTATTATATTGAATGCAAATGGGTATGTTTTCTTGTGTTAATTTATATTTCGGTTCATTAAGAGATGAATAATTTAATTTGAAAGTTTATTGAATTCTTGCGTTTTTTTAGTATATATAGTCTGACTTCTATGTATTTGCAACTTCTTTGTTTTTAATCCTTTTGTTCTCCTTATTATATAAAAGAAAAAAAAAAGTTATCTCCTAACTTTAATTTGTCAAACAATTGATGTTTTCCTTTACTCCTATGGTGCAAGAATAGTCTACGAGTATACGAAAATCAACATCATTATTTGTTTCTATTTTATAAAAGTGATTAGCTAATGGTCCTTTTTTAATAGCTACTGGGTATATGAAGCCTATATATTTTTTGGATTCTGTTTCATTATAAATTAGTTAGGAGTGCACACAGTAGCAAAATTAAATGATGAAATGTCCATTGTATAGTTTTTGGAAAATGTTATGATTTGCTTATCTCGTATTCATTTGGGGTCTCTTGTTCTGTTTTTTTTTTATACATGTTTTCTCTTTGTATTAGATGTTGTTGTGACTTATCTCCTTATCCTTTATTTTGTAAATGATTATTCTTTTTAAATTTTGACTATGTTATCACCCCCAAATAAGTATGGCTTCAAGAATTTTTGTATGTCATTGATGTGAGGCCATATTCCAGTTTTAAAGTTTTGTTATTGATGAGCTGTAGAAACGAAAGTTGAAATAATAATTTTAATTAATTAATCTTACTTTCAATCTTATATCCTCCCTTTCTTAGTTGTTTTTTTCAAGGTTTATAGTTGAGTTGTATTGATAATTAGCAAAGAAACAAAGTTGGTGAGCTGCTAGTACTAACCTTCCTCATGTTTTGGTTTTAGTGTGATCTTGCTAGAGTTAGGATATTGCCATTTGAAACAATAATCATTCACTATGGTTGTGACCTACTTATAAATGGTATATTCTAAAGGATAAGAAGTCATGGCCATATAAGAATAAGAGTCACATTTTCTAGACTAGTTGTTATAAGAATAAGAAGTCATGGCCATATTCATGTGGTAGTTGTTATAGACATGTTCTAGAGTTAAAATATACTTAAATATAAGGCTAATTAATGAACCATAAGGCATAAAAGAACAGTATGCTTTCTTATCAATGAGTTCATAAAAATAAACTAATAGTTATGCCTGGTTTTATCTTAATATATCTACCTTCTATTTTGCAATTATATATAGACTCAAATACAGCTTCGTTGCATTCATTCCCCCCCCCCCCCCCCCCCCCCCCCCCCCCGCCCTCTCTTGCCTCCTTGCCTTTTATGCATGGTATTTAGAAGTGGGGGACGGTGATTAGATGCTAAGTTACCATGTCATTAAACTCGTTCTACAAGCTGAAACTGGACTTTAACCTTTAGGACGGTTTTAAACTTGTTAATATCTCTTCCTGGATCCTCATTTGATATTCTTATTCCATTGGGTGTTTACTGTTTTTTCTATCAAACATTCAAGAATAAAGCTGAAGCTATTTCTCTTTACCGCAGGAAGAAAGAAGATATGGGATGGATTTATTTGCATGTTATCATCATTAATCGTGGTTGATTTGTCTGGGTGATTACTTTTCTAATTTTATGCTTATATTTCATAATTTTGTATTATGATTATCTCTAAATTGATTATCTGAACTTGTTTCCACAGATTTCAAGAAAACAGTGACAGTATTTGGAATGGAAGATTATATATACACGAGAACAACGAAGTCGAGCGTGTTTTAATTATTACCTACAATTGATTTTCCATTAATTAGTGATGATTACGAGTTTGCCGACCTTTAAACTCTAGAATAATGAGTTGCTTGAGAAACAACGTTGATGTCTCAATTATGTCAATAAATGGAACTACTGGCTTCTGGTAAAAAGAAATGACGTTAGCTGAGACAGAATCAACAGGTTAGGGATTTTTTTTAAACGAACGACCTTCCCTTAGCTTTCTCACGTGCTTGATGATCCTCTTCCTCCCACCATATCCAGACACAAGTAAGAATTCTACACCTCGTCTCCTTCCTCTTCCCCTTGCCCCACCACTAAATTAAAAGACATAAGAAAAAAATGTACAAAACTTGGACATCTTAATTGATTTACTTGACCTCACACAAGTATCCCTCATTCTTTCTTGAGTTTTTAGTACTTGGTGACGAGCACAATCATATTAAATTTGTGTTTCGTTTGGTTGAAAACTTGAATCTTGGTAACAACAATTTTGAAGTGTCAAGATTTTGTAATATAGAAGGAAGATCTTATGGCTGTCCTAATATTTCATTTTTTTTCCACAGGTTTACATTAAGGACTTTGAAATTCCAAAAATTTAATTTATTGGCCCCTCAAGTAAAAATTGAATCCATATTGACAAGGCTGGTTGCTCTGGGATATAGCTGACTGTTGGTTGCTGCTGAAATTTATGGTTGCTTGATGGAGGTGGTGGGAGGTGGTGGTGGTGCTGCTATTAACAATATCTTGCGTATAAACCATTATATTTATTGTGTATAAACCATTATATATATTGTGTATAAACCATTGTAATTTTTTAAATTTTTTATAATAATATCAACATTTATAAATGAAAATATCCAATATTATGCATGTGCAAATGTTTGTATCAAGTTAAGGTAAAAAAGGCAGGAAAAAAAAGAAATATGTAATATAGGCGCCTGTTCCTCTGCAAACCAGTGCCAAAGTGACAAATAAAAAAAAAACATAATTCTTGACGCTTTATTGTGTAGAAACTTGAGGTTAAAATTAAATTTTTCAAAAGAAAGAGTAGACGCAAAAAAGCGTCGAGAAACTAGGGACAACAGAAAGCGTCGCTAATTGATACGTCAGACAGCAAAAGCGTCATCAAAGTTAGGAATATCGACGCTTTGTATGAAAAATTGGACAATAAAAAGCATCGAGAATCACGACGCTTTTTGGCGACTTGGAAAATTCTCGACTCACTTATTTTCGACACTTTTTACAAGCGTCGAGAAATATATTTTCGATGCTTTTTCGCGTCCATAATTAGGCTTAAAAGCGTTGAAAAAGACCGAAAATTCTAGTAGTGTTAAGGATAATGTGGAAAAAGGCTTAATTAAGTTAGATTTTTGTGATACTGAAAATCAAATTGCTGACATTCTTACTAAGCCTTTGAGCAGGGATAAATTTGAAAAGATGCGCATGGAACTTGGTATGATACAATTGAGTTAAGAAGACCTCAACTTCCCCCCAAGGTATAAGTCAATCATGCATGCTTTATATGTGTCTTACACAATATGAATATGTGAAAACATAGTCCTTAGTATTAGAGTGTATGGCATTGCATATGGGATTGTGGCTGTATGTGAAAAAATCAGATTGCATTTAGCACGTCTATGTTGATAACAAACTATGTTGATTTGTTCCAAGTTCCTCCGATATTTTCTAAAAGATTGTGCTTTATCCTTTCGTAAATTAATTTACTATTCAGTTAATTAATTTCACTCTTTACAAAATCTTATCTTGTATTCTGATTTTGAATTATCCTCAAAATATCTATCTTTAAAAATTCAAATCTATCTTCTAATTTTTAATTCAAATACCCTAGACACTTTGTATTTAATTCAAAGCTTCTGATCAAAAGAATTAATCTAGACTACCTTGTCAAATCACATTAAATTAATCTGACCAAGTGAGAAGCATTTTTACCATTTCCCTTCAAACAACACCTACCATATTCAATTCACCTTCTACACTATTCCACCGACCTATTTCACCTCTCAAAATTCACCCCACTATAAAAATGAAACAAAACCCTAACCAATGTTCCTCACCACCGTACTCTGTAAAATACACTCTCATCTTTGGTGATTCCTCTCCAATTCCCATGGAAATCTCACCAAAAATTCAAAACTCTCCTAAAAAATAATCGCCAATGGAAATTGAGACCGAAATCTCAGTCAAAGCTGATACCGAAAAGCCCCAAAATAATCCCATGGCTCGTAGTGATTCGAAAAAGAGAAAGATCGAGGTTGAAGAAGAATTGGACTATGAGGAACTTGGTGAACCAATTCAGGGGAAAAATCGAAGTCAGCTTCTGTCAAAAGGCTTGAATCTAGCTCTGAACGATTCATTCCTGGGTTTTTTATAAACCTAAAGTGGTGTGAGTTGAGTAAGCACTCTTAACTTCTTGATATTCTTGAATCTCAAAATTGGATTAAGCTGTTTAGTGAATGTTATGATAATGTGATTGCTCATGCTCCCCTAAAAGAATTTTGTGCAAATTTTAAGAATATGAATGGTGTGTGTGTTAGCAAAGTTAAAAACAAGAAAATTAGTTTTGATGCTGATGATTTAGCTGCTGTGTTTGGAACTCCTAATAAGAGGTTTGATGAGTATTTTAAAGGAGAAACTGAATTGAGTGTTGATGGTGTACCTATTGAAAAAATTGTTGAATCAATTGGAGGTAAAGCTTCCAAAGTTTGAATCAACCATAATCTGTTTTCACCTATTCAAAAATTGCTATTTATTTTTGTTCACCTAGCTATCATCCCAAGAACCCAGCATAGACATGAGGCTAATCACCTTGATGTTGTTCTTATGTATTGCCTTGAAAATAAAATTTAGATAAATTTTCCATCTTTGATAATCCAGCACCTCACCCACTGTCTTGCCAATCATTTGAAGGTTGGGTATGCAAATTTGATTATTACTCTTCTTGAAAGCTGTGGAATCTCCATGACAAACTATGAATGCCTTAAGCTTAAAACTAACCATTATGTCCAACCCAAAACTCTGGAAGCCCGAAACCTAACTGTTGTTGAAGGAAGTACTCAATTCCTTTCCAAATCCCTTTCTAAGCCTAAACAGGATGAGAGTAGTTTGAAGAAAAAGGAGGATGAATAGTTGGATAAGTGGTTGGAGGAAGAGGACAATGAGGGAGAAGGAGAACAAAAAAAGAAAGAGGTGATTGTGATGTCAAACAAAATGGGTACTCAAAGCTCTAGGAAGAGAAAAAGTACTAGGTTGGCAATTAGGCCAAAAGGGAAGGACAAGGCTGAGTCTAATGCAGTTGTTGATCTGAGTGAGGAGAGAAATAGTGCACCTGGGAATCAAGGTATCCTTAAAGAGAAAGCTGGTTCTCAAGGGGAACAAGGCATACGTCAAACCTCTGTTGAAAAATCATTTCCTACAGGTTTAGGTTTTGCTGCTTTCAGCATAGTGAGTTCCACTTTGGAACTTAAAGCTCTCAAGGAGGCAGTGCAAAAGCTAGTTGATGTCCAAGCAGGTCTGATTCAAAGGATTGAAGCTCTTGAGAAGGTGGTGTCAGACTTGGTGAAAGCGTCCACAGAGCTCTCCTCCACAATGCAGCAGAGCACATCAACTCTCTCTCAGGGGCAGGCTGATCTTTTGAAGAAACTGGAGGACTTGGTCAATGAAGAGGTGCCAGAGAATGATGTTGAAGAAGAGACCCAGTCCTCAGCCCCTAAAGCTTGATCTCTGTATTTCTGTCTTAGCTCTAAACTTTCTATCTATGAACTTGGTTGGATTAAACTTGTTTTTATTTTGTTTCTTTTGGTTTGTAAACACTTAAATAGGGTATTTTGCTTTTGTTGATGTTCTGGAGGAACATCATTTTGTTTATCTGGATGATGCTTGCTTACTTTATGACATTTTGCATAATATTTCTGCCTATATATGCTTTGTTCTATGCTTTGGACACAAACCATTATCATGGTACTGTGTTTAGATATGTATATTTGTGTGCATTAATTTTGATGAACGCCAAAAGGGGAAAAAGAAAGAAAAAATCAATTGTTGACAAGCTCTCCATCCATCTAAATAGAGGTATATTTTCTTTCCAGTTCCTTGTTTAAAATTGTCTAGTTCAGTTAAGTTTACTTATTTTTTTTGTTCTGTTTTTACTGATTGTCTTCTATTTATTTTAAGTGAGTTTTCTTAGGTTTGTCATTCATCAAAAAGGGGAAATATTGTTGACCTTAAGTTTTGATGATGACTCAAGGAACCTAAGCAAACCCATACGTGTTTTAACTTTTGTCTATTAGCTTTGATTTATTTACAGGTTTATATGTATGCAACGAAGTTCTAGAGTCAGAATGGAGCATGGAACAAGTTCTAAGGATAGACTATGGATGATCAAAGAAGTTAATCAGAAGTCAAGTTCCAAAGGAGGAACTGAAGCTCCAGAATTGAATCTTTACAGTGTCTCAAGGAGTCTAATGTATTTTATCTTTATTTTAGGCTTCTTGTATTTATGTTAAGTACATTATAAATTGATAGGATTTAAGTGGATTTAATTTTTATTTGATAAAGATTTTATTTTAACTTGTTTTAATTTCGAAAAATATCTTTTTGAGTTAAAATATCTTGTTAGTTAAAAAGATTTTTTGTTTTGATTATATCCTATTATTTTGGAAAATTTGACTTGGAAAATACTCTTTTAAAAATGGCTATTTTACCTGGTCAAGGAAGTTGTGAGAAAATAGGAAGCAGTAAACCACTTCCTTGTAAAGAGTTTTAGCTTGCTGCCCAAGCACTAACGAACTGCACTTCCTAGTTTTATGGAAGTTTTGGCTTAATGGGAGTTAAGGTAAACGAAAGTGTTTTAACTTCCTTTTTCTAGTATAAATAGTTTTGGTTTTCAGTTGAAAAATACACTTGAGCATTTACAGTCTTTTAGTCTTCAAAAGAGTCATAATCCACCGAAGTCCTTGAGTGTCTTTGTACTTAGCAATTTAGAGTTTAATCTTGAGTTGTATTGGGTTAGAGTTTGGGGAAACTCTAAGAGTGTTTATTGCTATGAGTGAAGCAAGGAGAAAGAGAGAGTTAGAGAGTTCGACTGGTTGAGGGATCAGTTGAAGGGAGCTTAAGTTCGTTGAGGAACTTGAGTTTAGGGTCTTAATTTGTAATAAGTTGTTTGCCCTATTATTATTAAGAGTTAAGTTTAAAATCCTTTGTGGTCGTGGTTTTTCTTCTTGATTAGGGCCAAGAAGTTTTCCACGTAAAATCTCTCTTTGCACTTCTAGTTTTTATTTGAGTTCCTTTATAAATTCCGCAAAAATTACCCTAGTTCCTCTACAGTACAATTCACCCCCCCATCTTCTATTGTTCATTCGAGTCAACAGTAATGCTTGAAATATTCCCTACACATAGCCAAATGAACTTAGCGTCTAACAGATTTTTAACCTCGGCAGCTGCCGCCTGACTTCTTTCCTTGCCGTGATTTCTTTTCTATTGTCGGATGGGCTTCTTTTTTGGATCCATAGCGAGTTTGTCGACAGCAAGATCCGGGCTTATGCTTGGCATTTCTTCCACTTCAAAGGCAAAAATGTCTTTAAACTCTCTTAGCAGGAGGTGCAAGTTTGCACCAATCTTTTAAAAGCAACAGTCCCCACCTCAACAGTTTAATCTGTACGGCTGTCGTCTATAGGAATATCAATGTGCTCACCAGCCGGCAGGGGACGGAGATCATCTGAATGTTTCTCGGTCAGTGATTCCTATTTCTTCTCCTTCTTCACCTCCTCTAGCTGATCAAATTTTCTTTTCTTTGTGGCTGCTGGAATGGGTGAATCAGTGTCCTTGACATCGTCAAGGTCTATTGGCTCCTTCGGCTGACCGGCTGCAGCAACCGTTGGTTTGATGTTTGAGAGATAACACTCCCTTGTGGTCTTTTGATCCCCGTTGAGGTCCCAACAGAACCATCATCCTTTTCATACTTGAGAAGTATTGGAGCAGGGATGATGACGGCCTTGCACTCGTTCAGAGTGGGCCGACCAAGAACAATGTTGAAGGCGGTCAGCTCTTTAACC